AGAGAGAGAGAGAGAGAGAGCTCTGACGATACCAAGAGAAAAGGGTCAAAGGGCAGAAGGGAGAACTACATGCAGAGGAAGGAGCCCTGTTTATTGACACTAGCAGCCATGAGGTTTTGCATGGGTTTCTTTTTTTGGCTCACCAAAATTAAAATATAGAGATAGAAGGCCCGAGATGCACAAGAAAGGCCCAAACATAGTGAAGACCGGCCACAAGAAGTTTTGACTCTTTAGGCTGTCTATTTCCCTCTCGAATGTATGCGTTTTCTTTCTAAATATTAAACACCTTCTCTAAATAACTGTCTGCTATATTATATTTCTGTATGCCATGAGACCATTTATCTTGGGTAAGCGGTTACAATCATCATTAGCCATTAAATATGAAATCTAACATCATGGAGTATGGCACATATTTTAAAATTTTTCCTACACATCAGCTGCTCGAATTCAATTTCAATGGCCAATAAATGATTATCACCTCTGATACCAACAGTAAATGATCTTATTGTATACTGTATGGGCAGTGAGCTCCATGGAGTGTGAAAGCTTTTGACTTTGTCTAAAGATGCAGTCTTCTTGACTTGTTATCCTAGTCTTTTTCGATTTATTGATGTTAGAGATTGTATATTATGAGACATAGATCATAGAAATAGTATTCGACATACTGATCTGTCAACATTTACAAAAAAACAAATCATATTTCCATAAGAATGGTTCATCTCAAACACCCACTAAATATCAAACAAACATTGAACATATAATTTTTTTAGCAGGGCTAAGAGAAATATACGAGTACTTCAATCGGTCATAATGGGGATGATTATAGCCTTTGATCAATAACAGAGGCAAAAAAAATCCAAAAAATAGTCTGTAAAGCCTGTTCTTTTTGAAAATTTTTTTTGTGAAATGTGGGGTAACGAGCAGCGCGCCTGAGTTCGGGCGATCATTGGCCTAGTACTCTCCCTATCCAAGTTTGACTTGGGCGATTACAAGTTGAAACAACAATTTTCTTTATCATTTCTTCATTATTATGATACATCTTTCAATAATTATATTTGAAGTATCTATATAACACACATTAAGCCATAGTATGGGGTGGTAAATTACTTAACAAGGGGGAGCCTAGAGGTTATATGTGACCCCATCTAAATGAGTTATCCTGGAGCTATGAGGCTAAGTTTCCTTCTAGTAAGTTTGGATATTGCCTAGCGTAGACATTAATATTAGGGTGTGGTTTGCTGTAGGTTGCACCCTAAATGATTGAAGTAAGGTGCACCTCCAAACTCTGTCACAAGAAGCAATTTCGATGTCAAAAATCCTTAGAAAAATCTATTTTTATCTCTAATTATAAAATTTTAAACTAAAAAAAAAGGTTCAAATTAAGTAGATTTATAAACGCACTAAAATCTTGAAAATATACAGCCTAGATAACATGTTGCATGATGTACTAGTTTTAGGACTAGAAATCTTTTTTTTCTCCTTATTTATTTATACATCTCGATGTTGATATGATTAATTAGATGTTTTTCCTACATCAAAAAAACCTTCTTCAAGGGATTTTTAATTTCTGATATGCACCTTAATTTCATATTTTGAGATTTCAACCTTATATAAATTTTTTCCGGCTTGGACGTTTGTAGTTATGGAGAGCTGGTTTGTATGCATGAATGCTTGGATGCATAAATATAGACGCATGTATAGGGATAGAGATGGTTTACCACTTTGATGGGTGATCTGTTCTGTAATGAAACTTTATCAATCTGTCTCAATTACAGGTACTAAGGGACCCCAATGTGCAAGTTATACAAAAATTTGCTCGTATGCTTGCAATCGTCTGATCAAATATGAATGGTTGGGATTGCATGTTATTATTTGAGTTTCCTTTTATTTCTATAAATTAAATTGACTTGATATTTGGGGTTGTGCATGTCTCTTCCTCATGGACCTAAAAAGTAATTAAAAAAAAAAAAACATATAATACCCTGCAACAGTTGTTAAAAAATGGAACTACTTTTAGATATTATCTCTATGGGCTCCAAACTTAAAGAATCCTATTCTTGGGCATCTGATATGGGAAATTCTTAATTTTTTGAGGGTGAACTCTTTGATTAAATTTTGGCCCAACCTTTTGGTCCCATCTAGTCAAGGTCGCTTCAATGCCCTGATGGATATATATGTGTGTGTTTCCTCTGAAGATTAAAAAAGCGGTCGAACATATGGAGAAAGTTTCTTAAAGACCATTATAAGACTATAAAATCCATTACAAGTCATGACTATGTTTAATACTTTAAATTAATGAAACATACTTTTTTTTATGGAATAGTTGAGCAAGCAATAGGAACCAAACTTAAGATGTAGTGCTGCTAACACACGCTGTAACCACAAAAATGCAATTCTAAGAACAACAAAAAGAGCCTGATTGTATACATTGGCAAGTACTATGATAAAAATGCTATCATTAACACTTGCTATAAGAATTAAAAAAAAAAAAAAAATTCACAAAGGGCTAAAAGTTAAGAATGAGAATATATATTCCTCTCTTCAGAAATTAAGTAGCTCTCTCCCTCTCTTTAGAAATTGGGACTCTAAAGGAGTTTACAAATGTGATGCGGGTTAGAATCCAAAATCTCACCTATTGTCTCTCTAGAATTCAAAATCCCACCTTGCCCATAGACTACAAAGCCTTTGGTCACCTCCTCCAACACTGCACAGACCACTCCCTTCTTTCTCTAGGCCGCCAGCTCCACGCTCGCCTCACACTCCTCGCCATCTCCCCTCGCCCTTACCTTGCATCCAAACTGCTCTCTCTCTATGCAAAGTGCAACCCGCCTCGTTTTCTCTCTCATCCCGGAGCCCAACCTCTTCGCCTTCAACGCCCTCCTCATTGCTCTCTCTCTCCATGATCTCCACTCCGAAACCTGTGAAACGTTCTCTCTCCTTGTTTCTTCCAATCTTCGGCCGGATAACTTCTCTCTCACCTGTCTCCTCAAGTCTGAGCCCTCGGTTTGTCGAGAGGCCCATGCTTACTCTCTCCGCCTCTATCTTATCGATGTCGACTCCTTTGTTCCAAACTCTCTCGTCACCGCATATGCGAATCATGGGCGAATTTGTTATGCCCGCAATGTGTTTGATAAAATGGGGGAGAGAGACGTGGTTTCTTGGAATGCCATGGTTTCTGGTTATTCACAAGCCGGACTTTATGAGGAGTGTTTGGGTGGTTATAGAGAGATGGTGAATTTGTCAGGGTGTAGGCCAAATGGGGTCACTGCAATGAGTGTTTTCCAGGCTTGTGGTCATCTTGGTGATATGATTTCAGGTATGGAAATGCATAAAAGATTGTTGCAGAGTGGTGTTGAATTGGACAATGGTGTTTTGAATTCTTTGGTTGGGTTTTATTCGAAATGTGGGGCATTGGATTATGCTCAGAAACTCTTTGAGAGCATGTTACATAGAGATTCAATTTCTTGGGGTGTAATGATTTGTGGGTATTTTCAGCATGGGAGGTGTCTCGAAGCCATGGGCCTTTTTGAGAAGATGAAAAGAACCCATAGTCCATTTCTCAATCTGAGTACTTGGAATGCAGTGATCTCTGGCCTTGTTCAAAATGCTCAATTTGGAAGAGCTTTGCAATTGGTTAAAGAAATGCAGAGAGATAATGACGTGTTCAGGCCCAACTCTGTAACCATATCAAGCATTCTCCCAGCTTGCTCTTACTTCTCCTCTCTCATCATGGGAAGAGAAATCCACTGTTACTCTATTCGAACCAACCATGATTCCAACTTTTACGTGGTGACCGCTCTGATAGACATGTATTCAAAGTCAGGGAACCTGAATGGAGTTCTTCAAGTTTTTAGAAGCACAGTGAAGAAGAGTGTGGTAATTTGGACTTCAATCATGGCTGCTCATGCATCACATGGCCAAGCCTTGGAATCTCTCAAGCTCTTCTCAGAGATGCAATCACATGGGGTCAAACCAGACCACGTGACCATAACTTCAGCTCTTTCAGCTTGTAGCCATGGTGGATTGGTAGATAAAGGTCAATATATTTTTTCTAACATGGTTAGAGATTATGGTATAGAACCAGGATTAGAGCACTATGGGTGCATGGTTGATTTGTTGGGCCGATCAGGTAGGCTGGAGGAAGCAGCAAAAATGATAGAGAGTATGAAAATCAAGCCAGGTTCTCGAGTTTGGGGTTCATTGCTTGGAGCTTCGGTGGCTTATAGGAATGTGAGGTTGGCTGAGTGGTCTAGTGAGAGATTGTTTGAGATAGAGCCCGAATGTGTAGGAAATTACGTGTTGTTGGCTAATGTTTATGCGAAAGTGGGGAGGTGGGAGGATTCAGAGAGGGTTAGAGGGATGATAAGGGAGAGAGGACTGAGGAAGAAGCCTGGGTGTAGTTGGGTGGAGGTGAACAGAGCGTTGCAGAGCTTTGTGGTGGGGGATAGGTGGAAGCCAAGGTTGAAGGAGGTGTATGGAGTGCTGGAGGACTTGGCAGAACAGATGAGTGATGAAGGGTATGTAGGTGTTGCTTTGGATGAGTTGGATGGGGAGTATGTGTAATGAAGAGTGTGCGTGAGTGCACACAAACACAGAGTGAGAGAGAGAGAGAGAGAGAGACCCAACCCATCACAAGATGGGAAGTGCAAATTGAATTCCCTTTGAAATGGAAAGAACTGCCTTGTGATATTCTTACTTACATTCTATTCAAATTTTAATCTTAATACTGATATTTAAGTTCAAGGAGGATACTGTTATTGTGCAATATGATATAAAGGGAATCAAGATGCAGATGTATGTCTATGAGAGAGATTCCCATCCATTACCACAGATGGGGGAAGAGGGTAAATTGAAATCCATTTGAGATCTAAGATTCTTTGTGGTGTTGTAATCCATTTGATATTCTAATTCGTTTACTGTTTATCCAATTACATTTGAAATTTAAAGTTTGTAACACATTGTTGAAGGTGCATAAAATCGAGGGAAACAAACCAAAATCAGTATCACATACCTTTTGAACAACAACAAATATGTCCATGAATATTCCATTTTACAAGAAGAAAGGGGGCGAAAGCGAATTACAATGATCAAAAAGCAAAATTTATACATAATAAATTAAATTTCTCATCCATTCCTTTAGCCTCAAACCTTCTGGCATACAACCAATTATGAAAGGGGCAAGACAATTGGATATAAAGACTATGTAAAAGAATGAACTCTAAGCCATTTGAATTTCTTCACTCTTCATCAGAGCATTCATCTAGAGAAGAAGAGAAGCTGAAGATGTCAGTTCTAGGTGTCCGATGACCTGTCCCTTCATCATCTTCTTCTCCTCTTACTTCATCGCTGCTTGTCATGGATTGATGAGGAGATGAGAAATCCAAGCATACACCTCTGAATTCAGGATCAGATGGGGAGAGACCTTGAGAGGTCAGTTGGTGATACTCGACAAGCTGGTGAAGACACTGGTTTTCTCTTTTAAGGTTTGCATTCTCATTAGCCAACCTTGACTTCTCAGCCAGAAGGGCCTCCAGTTGAAGTCTCACCTGCCATAGATACAGTCCATACTCAGAAAGAGGAAAAAGATGATTGAATACACTTCTGAGAATTACAGGGCGTCTCTCTCTCTCTCTCTATCTCTCTCTCAAACACAAATACGCATGTGCAAGGACACGAGTCTTCTTATGCCTGAGAGAATGTGTTTGTCATATTCGCACACAGGCACTTGGACACGCTGCACACACACGTGGAGAAAGTGACATTTTAAGACTGAGAATCCCATTTATATCTGAATATGTCTGTTTGCACTCACTTGTGTGTCTGTTGTTGTACGTAGAGAGAGAGAGAGAGAGAGAGAGAGAGAGAGTTTTCAACACAATTCATAAATTTAAGCGAGTTAGCATGGAATGTCCAATCTTACCAGGTCATCCTCCTCAGGTCTTATTCCTTTGGAGAACCCATCACGTAGTCTCTTGTTCTCCTCTTCAAGAAGAACACATCTTTCGCTCAAATAACCAACTTCCCCTTTGATTGACTTCAGTTCCTGTGCAAGTGAGGCAGCTTTTGAAGCCATCTTTGCTGCAATCTGTAGCAAAAAAATTTGAGAAAGTAATTAAGAAGCAAGCAGCAATAACAGATCTATAAACAAATCTAAAACGTTGTAATTTTTTAAGAAATGGCAAAAGCCTTACCTTTCTGGTCTCTTTCATCTTTCCACTCGCGAGAACTTCTGTTTTGATTGGAGAAACATCCTCTTTTGTGGGGCTCTGTTTAGTTTTTATGGGAGATACATCCTTTGATCCTTGTGAAGAATCATCACACCGCCTCTTTGTTAGAGGTCGCTCTATCTCATCTTCTTGGGGTTCGATGTCTCTCTGATACAATTCAGATAGTTTGGGCTTTGATAGTTCATTTGCCCCCTGTTCGGAAGGGTTACTGCATTTATGCTCTGAACTAGTTTTTTTACAAACAATTGGCAATGAAAAATAGTAGAAAGTAGTTAAGAGAAAGAAAGATGGAATTATCACGCATGTCTTTATTCAAACAGATTGAAAGATCTCCTTCCTTCTGATATGATACTGACTCGAGAAAAATCAATATCCTGATAAACTGTGAGATTTACAAAAAGTTTGTATGACCTAATATCTCTGAGATTTAGCAAAAACCTAAAGACCCAAATGTTTAGAATTTCAGCGAAAACCTAAAAGTCCAACTCTTCTTTTCTTTTGAATTAAAGACCCAATTTCTTAAACCACAAATAAATTTAGGTAAAAACCTAAAACCCCAATTCTTGTTTAGCTGGAATTAAATACCCAATTTGAAGCCATGACCAAATTCTTGTTTTATTTGGAATTAAAGAACCAATTACTTGAAGCCATGAAAACTACAGATTTCCTCACCAGATGTTCACTCAAAATAGATGATTACCTGGAGGGCAGCATCGAGGTTCCCTGTAAGCTGAGAGAGAGAGGAACCAATGGAATCAAAACCTCTAAGAAGAAGCAGAGAATTCTCTCTTAAAAGCTTGCTACTCTCTGTATCCCCAACCACCTGAAACCAGAAGAAAAGTTAGACAGAGAAACTTCTCAAAGCCAAAATACTCTCCAGCATAGATCCAAAAAAAATGCTCGGGAGAGAGAGACAGAGAGGTTGGGTACCAAGGCAGGGTTGCCAGAGATCTTCTGGCCTTTCTGTAGAGAGTCTATGCGCCTTTTGAGAGCACCCCAAAATCGTATATCTGATGCAGGACTTATGGAAGGTGTGGAATCAATGGGGTTCACCATTTCCTGCAACAAGAAATCAACAAAATGAAAAGTAAGGAACTGACTGTCACAAACATGAAAGGTTAGAAAACAGGAAACCTGCTAAAACTTACCTTATTGGATTCCAGAACAATGGCCATGTTGAGAGAGGGAGAGAGAGATGAATGTGGGGAAAAGGGGCAAGATAAGAGTGAGAATCAGAGAAGTTAGTGAAATGTTAACGGCTAGTAAGAGAGAGAGAGTGTTTAAAGGTGGGGAAGAGAGAGGGGGGCACGCTCCAACGTTCGAATCTTAATAAGTGGGGCATTTACCTTAAAAAAAGATAAGAAGAAATTATTGATGCCTTTAAAAATGTAGTTCGTAGACATTCTACTCCTAATATTTTATGAGTGGCCGTTTGTATAATGCTGATGATCAAAACAATCAAAATAAAATGCACCTTTAAATAGTGGTTTTAATACTGAAAATGTTTGTGATGGCTTTCAAATAGTATTTCTCTGTGTGTGTCTCTCTCTAACCATCCAATATCGCTCGCTCACTCTCTCTCTCTTATTGAAAACTTTTGGTTATGTGCCGAACCGACTTCCAAGTTCTGGCTTTTGGAAATTCAGAAGCCTCATGACCGGCCAGCACACTTTTGTGTTGGATTGAGGTTCTGGAATTCTAGAAACCTCGTGGCCGGTTCGGCACACTTTTGGGTCAGACCAAATTTTTTTTGCTTCAATCGAACACACTTTCCAAAAGTTTCATCACACTTTGTGTCGTACTACTTTTTTTTTTGTTTCTGTCTGACACAAAAGTGTGTTGGACTGGCTTATGGGATTCAAAAAGCCTAATAATCAATCTGACACACTTTTCAACATAAGAGAGAGAGAGTTTTAATAGATATGGTAAGGGTGGGAAATAATAGTTTAGTCTTTAAAACATTAACCTTTTAACTAATACAAAAGCAAAAAAAAAAACATTAATTTAAGAGGGAATTTTTAATTTTCCAAACAAAAAGAAGAAAAATTCAGGATAACTTCAAAAAGACCAAAACATCCCCAAATACATCTTAAAATAGCTCAACTTCCTGTTTGGAATGACTGCGTGCATGCATTATTGGTAACTTGCACTCTTTTCTCACATTCATCAGTAGCAGTAACCGTTATAAGGAGAGTGGGTGGATCATGAATAATTTTTTTATTTGAGTTCCCAAACAAATGGGTCTTTATTTTGAAATAAATGAATTTATAGAGGTTCACATTCAAAAAAAGAATTTACGGAGCCCCTCTCTTCCTCTCTCATGTGATGTTCCTCTCCCATGTGATGTGTATGTGTATGTGTAGTCTACGAAGATTGTGCTATAAATGGTGAAACCAAAAGATTTTATACTCCCGTAGACAGGCGTATACTTTCCATTCACTCCCCTGCATAAAACCCAATAGTACTTTTAGAACCCTAAATTTTGGGGTAATATAAACTTTCACATAACTGTAATAAAAAAAACATTCTCATATCGAGAAGGAACTCCTGCTAATGCAACATCACCATAACATTACACTTACTATATAATAAACTAGCCATTGTTACACATGAGCTTGTCATCCTGAAGAATTTGGGAAAGCCCAAAGGAAGAATGAGAAAAGAGCAGAACCTTGTAGGAATGTGACCCTTAAACAAGGTGACAATCATGTCCTTGCAGTCATTTAACACGCACAAGTTTCTATAGAAATCAGGTTACCTATGTTGCATGTGTGAAGTTAAATTACATATGTTGAGTGTTTTATTTGTTTGCTCTCTTTTATTTTGGGCCATTGGATTGACTTCTAATCCAAGGGCTGTGAGGTTGTAGGAACTTTCTCTTCAAATGGGTTTTATTTAACTTTCTTTGAGAGAGAGAGAGTGAAAAACAAGAGAAGGTAAGAGCTCACGTATTTCTTACTGGCCATGTTTTTTCCATCTTGTAGAGAGAGAGTAGAGATATTGGGTCACAAATCTTGGGTATTTTCGGGACCCTACAGCTGACCCTATTTTAAAGAGAGAAAGTATCCATTTGTAGGACCTTTGAAGCTTTGGAGAAAGTATCCATTTGTAGGACCTTTGAAGCTCTGGAGAAAGCATCCATTTGTAGGACCTTTGAAGCTCTGTTTTGGGCCTTATTTTAGATAAGAAAAGCTGTTGTAAATTGGAGTTTTGGAGCCCGATTTCATCTTGTAATCTTCACAAATAAGTAAGTAAAACCTCACACCATTTTCATGTGGATATAGGGTACGATTTGTTACCAGACAATGTTAAATTATTGTGTTATGTGAATGCTTGTTGCTGAATTTTTTATTCTATGTTCTTGTTTTGATATTGTGTAGTTTTCATTGCTTGTTTATATTGATATGAATGCACAATAACTATGAATGCACAACAACTGGTATCATAGCCTAGGGTTTGTTCTTCATTGTGTCTATGAAGAACGGGTTTTTTAACTATTGTGGTTATTTACTGTATTGTTCTTTAAAATAAAAAGGGTAATGGAATTTGAATAATTAAATCAAAGCAACTGATCAATATGGAAAATGATGATGGAAGATTATCTTGTTGGAAAAGAATTGGATAGGCCAATTCGAGGAAAAGAGGTCATGCCTGATGGAATGGAAGATCGGAAATGGGATATTCTTGATCGAAAATATTTGATAACTATTAGACTATGTATTTCACCATCAATTTATTTGATGTTTGTCAATGTAAAACATCTGCAGAGCTTTAGCAATATTTTGAGCAATCTTCTAGTGCGAATAAAATTAGTGCGATGAAAAAATTATTTTTTTTGAAAATGAAAGAAAGTGTTACAATTAGATCCAATGTGAGTGAATTTAATTCAATTTTTGCACAATTGAGGTATTTGAAAGTGAATTTGGTTGAAGAAGTTTTATGTTTGCATTTGCTGAGTTCTTTACTTGCTAGTTGGGATACCTTGGTTAATTGTGATTAATACAATGGGTAACAAGTTTAATTGAATAGATGTTGTGACTTCATTATTGAATGAAAAGACTAGAAAGGCATCCACACAAATGCTTGTTGAGTCAAATAAAGCATTAGCAACAGGAGATAGAGGAAGAACTCAACATAGAGATCAATCCGAAAGATTTAGTATGCATAAATTTCATAGCAGAGGTAGGTCCAAGTCACAGGGCAAGAAGGTTATTTGCTGGTATTGCAAAAAACCTGGTCATACAAGAAAATATTTTTATGTTATGAAGAATAAACAAAAAGCCAAGGGCAATGATGGTCATGCAGAAGTAAGTACAGTTCCAGATGGTGAAGATGTGATTACTTTTATTGTTGCGTGCACACCATTATCCATTGCAAATAGTTGAGTTTTAGATTCTGGTGCTTCATTTCATGTTTGCCTAAAAATGTCATATTTTTCATCCTATACAGATGTGGTTGGTGGTTTGATTTATCTTGTTGATAATCTTGGGCATTGAAAATGTTGTTATCAAGCAATCAGATGGAAAGAAGCATACATTGAGAAATGTGAGGCCTGAGTTGAAGAAAAACCTTATTTCAGCCAGGCAATTAGATGACTCTAGTTTCATAGTGAATTTTGAAAATGGGTCATAAAAGATTTCTAAATGTTGTATGACAATGTTGAAAGGGCAAAAAGATGGGAGTCTCTACATTCTTCATGACATGACTCAAAGGAATGATGCTGCATAGAAGATTGTTGCTATTGCTAGTAAGCATGAGGATATGCAAATTTGGCATAGTTGTTTGGGTCATCTCAGTGAGCATGGTATTAAGGTATTACAAACTCAAAATCTCATTCATATTTCTAAGCATTCATTTTTTTATTTTTGTGATCATTGTGCCATGGATAAGCAACGTAGAGTTAGTTTTGAAAGAAATGAATTTCATAAAAAAAGTAAAGCATTAGAATTGCTTTACTATGATGTTTGTGACCCTGTTAATGTTAAATCTCTTGATGGAGCTTATTATTTTGTCACTTTTTTAGATAATTATTTTAGAAAGTGCTGGTTGTATCCATCGCCATCCAATGATCAAGTTTTTGAAGTTTTCAAAGTTTTTAAAGCCGAGGTTGAAAAAGAAACAAACATATTTATTAAATGTTTGCAAACTGATAATGGTGGTGAATGTTGCTCGAATGCTTTTGATACTTTCTGTAGAGAGACTGACATTCGCAGGGTAAAGACTGTTCCTGGGACACCATAATAAAATAGTGTCATTGAGAGGATGAATATGATCATCATTGAAAGAGTAGGAAGCATGATTTCATAATCTATTCTTGGTAATCAATTTTGGATTGAAGCTGATAATACATGCGCATATTTAATTAATATATCTCCCAGTGCACCAATGAATATTGAAGTGCCTGAAATTTTGTGGAGAGGTAAAAGTGTGTCATATAAACACTTGAGAACATTTGGGTATGAAGCTTATGTTCAAGTGCCCAATGAAAGTAGAGCCAAGTTATGCCAAGTCAAAAAAATGTGATTTTTTTGGGGATGGTGGCGATGATAGAGGTTATAGGATTTGGGATTCTATTGCAAAGAAGACCATCAGAAGTCCAGATGTTTTTTTTAATGAGAATGTAATGTTTGTTGAAAAGAAGCAAGAAGAGCCAAAATAAGAAAGTCTTCTTGTGGATATACAATAACCAAATCTCATTGTTTCACCGACGAGTGCAAGATACTCAAACTCAAGCTCAAGATAATTTTGACGCAAGTGATGTTAGTTATGAGGATGACACTAAACTAATTCAAGATAAAGAAAGCCTACCAGTTACACCTGAGCCATAATTAAGAAGATCTATACGGCCTCACAAGCCCACACAAAGGAATTCTCCTTCTTTATATTATGCTTTGTATACTAATAGTGGCGAACTTGAATCTTTTCAAGTGGCTATTTATTGCCCTAATGCTAAAAAGTGGCATAAGACATTAGAGGAGGAGATTGATGCTTTGCATAAGAATGATACATGGGAGTTAGTAGAATTTCCACATAGGAAGAAAGCATTGAAGACTAGGTCTGTGTATGAAATTCAGTGGGAGGCAAATGGTCTTATGCGGTATACGGTTAGGCTTGTGGTAAAAGGTTATAGTAAACAACCAGGTGTTGATTTTATTGAAATTTTCGCTCTTGTTGTTAAGCGTAGCTCTATTAGAGTTGTTTTAGTTTTTGTTGCTAACTTGAATTTGGAGCTAGAACAATTTGATGTTAAAACTACCTTCTTGCATGGTTGATCTTGATGAAGAAATTTATATGTGTTAACTTGAAGGTTTTGAAAAAAAAACCAATCCTAACTTGGTTTGCAAGTTGAAAAAGGGATTGTATGGTTTGAAACAAGCATTTAGGTAATAGTATAAAAAATTTAATAGTTTTATTATGGGTGAAGGTTATTCTAGATACAATTTTGATCATTGTGTGTATTTCTAGGGTTCATCATAAGATTATTTTACTGTTTTGT